TTTGGTAAGTGATTTTCATGTTCTGACCATAAATAAAACTTTAAACCACAATTAATTATCTGGTTTCTTCAGCTTTCACTAAGGAGCAAAAATCTGCCTTTGAATTCATAGAAATCATGATGTGACATTTATTCTGACAATTATCAATATCGAACGATATGAAATTTTTTATCATTATAACATTTATGGTCATACCGCCCAGCCCTAGTATAAATAGTATTTAGCTTTGAAAATGTTAAAGGAAACTGGGGGAGCCAGTTTGAACGGGCCTGAAGCAGCAGATAACATTAATATCTAGCAAGTATTGATATCTATCATATACGGGGGCTATGCTTATTTGTCAGTAGAGTAGATGCTGGATCATAAGCCAGGACTTGCACAGCTGATCCAAATCCAGTACTAGTACAGACCCAGTCCAGACGTCTTTAGCAGGTCACACAGATCCAGTTGAAACACAAGCAGCCTCAGTCACGAGCACAGCCAGAGATGCACAGCCTGCATCAGACTTTACAGACTTTGTGAGGATTTTTCTAGAAGAGGTTTCCATTCAGGCTTATTACAGAGACAGACACTATTACAGCATACAGGAACCAATGAAGGGCTTCAAAGGGAAATGCTGAAAAGATCCAGGTGTTTTTTTTTTTTTCAGATGTGGACATACAATTGGACATGTCTTTATTTAATGGCAAAATGTAATGTGAGTTTTGTAGGCTAATGTTCCTAAAAATGTGTGACAAGATATATGTGTACACGTTCATATATACACTCCGGTACAGTAGGTGGTGGAAAACCGACCATTTATTGGTATATGCAGCAGAAATGATGGCAATCTTAGTGGATAGAGGAAATCAAACCAATGAAAATGGTAATTTGTTCAGATTCAAGCGCAGCTCTGGCCAGTCTCAAAAGTACAATGTCAAAATGTAGGGAGGATATATTGTTTGAAATATTGTTATCATTAAACAGAATAAGTAGTCTGGGGATTTATGTTCAGTTTCTATGGGTCCCAGCACACATTGGTATCCAAGGGAACGAGATGGCAGACACATTATCTAAAAATGGGTTGAAAGTACCAGTTAGCAAAGACGAGATCAAAGCATATGTAAGGAGCAAAATTAAGATGCAGTGGCAGAGTTTATGGGATAATGGAAATAAAGGAAGACATTTATACAAGATTCAGCAGAAAGTGGGGGAGGAAAAGGACACTGGGGAAGAGCAGGAGAGAACAGTGTCAATTTAGCAGAATTAGACTTGGTCACACAAAGTTAAATGCATCTCTGCGCCTTGTTGGAAAACATCCATCTGGAAATTGTGAGGCATGCAGCAACCAGAAACTGTGGAGCATGTGCTGTTAGAGTGCAATAAATACTCAAACCAAAGGCTGGCTTTGAGAAATGGACTGGAACACTCTGGAAAGATGGTGCTTAAACACATCTCATCTTTTTTACAACAAACTGAACACAAGGATTTAGACAGATGTAACTAAGATACAGTAGGTGGCGATAATGCTCCATCTGGTTGCAAGTCGCCAGTACAAAGAAGAAGAAGAAGTAGAAGTAGGTGGTGGTCTGGTGGCATGCACCTAAACAAGTTGGTTGCATGCGCCATGAACTCAGAGAAAGAAGGCTCGTGCTTTGGGTTGTATATAAACAGTAAACGCCGTGTGCCTCCCGGCTTGCTTACATGATCTGCATCCTCTTTAACTTTGAAAATGATGCCAGCTGGATTTAGCTTCCTCGGCAGCTGGTTTCTGCACCTTTTCATCAGCGTCATTCACCCAGCGTCAGGTCAGTATGTTCACATGTGAAATACGGAAAAATATTTGGTTATGGTTAGGAAAACATCGTCGTTTGGGTGTAATCACAGAATCTGATACGTCACACATTTTGGTGTTTCACCGGCGTCAACGCAACACTGCATCAGCACAAACATCAACAATAGTTTCACTTTCAGAATCAGCAGCCCACGTGACTCCAGAGAGTAACTTTAGGTCAGCGGCTGGTAACAGGACTGTTTATTGACTTGTTTTAAATAAAATAGAGCGTCACTAATAGATCATTTATATCCCGAATTATTGAGAAGATTGTTTTATATGTGGAAAGGCTTAAAGTGGATTCTCTACCGTGTACGTTGTTTTCCTGGCAAACATACTAGGATTTCCCCAAATATCCCAACATGTAGATTTCCAAGAAGGGCATTCAGGACACTTATGGACACCAGCTATTGGAGTTATCAAGCTCTGTGTTTTTGCTTTCCGTTTTACTGGAAGTTGCCTCAGTTGTGTTTATGAGCGAGTTCCACTGCTTCTCAAGCTTTTTCAGCTCAAAACCCCGAAAAATAAATCTGGTGTCTCCCTGGCTCCCAAATTTACAAAATAAAATGTATAAATTTTCACATTAAAGTTAACAAAAACAACCACCGTCTCACCCTTTCTCCACTTTTATTTTCTTATGCCCTCCAGTCATCACCAATCTCACCAGTGATCTTTACTCTGGGCTCAGGTTTTGAAAGTGCCATTCTGAGGTCATGCTGAGCATTTAGTCTGTCTCCGAGTTGGTTTTTCAGGTACATGAGAGTCAAAAAACCTGATTCAGTATGTTGAGCTGTATAGAATCAACACATCTTGAAGGATTCTTCTTTGCAAAGTAAAAATAAATGTTTGAACTTTCTCAAATACAGCGAGTGTTTTGTTCAATTTATTCATTTTTAAACCCTCATTACTGAGCGCTTCCCCGCATATAACACAGTGACGCATCTATAAACTCGTCCTTGTACTTTAGTTTAAATATAGATGCGTCACTGTGTAATATGCGGGGAAGTGCTCAGTAATGAGGGTTTAAACATCATAGGATCGACAGTGACAGATCACAGATTACAGACATAAAAATTCTGTATGAAAGTGGACAGAAGATCAAGTTAGGGAGAAGAGACAGAGAGAAACCCTCACAGCTGAACAGACAAGTGTAGCAAAAAGAACGCTCATTCATATACTGTGACATTATTATGATTTACTCCACTAAAAGAGGGCCTGCGACCCATTTTGGGTCCCGACCCCAAGTTTGGGAAACATGGATGTATGCTAATTGTTTATATGTTCTGTGGATGATTCAGACTAGAGCCGAATAGGTTTGTAGATTTAAGCAGAAAATTTACAAAACACCATTTTGATAGTTGTTTAATTATGCTGGTGTTCCAGCATCTCAGAAGTGTTTTGGTCCTAAATTAAAGTTAAAACAAGCAATTTAAAGACGCGACAATGGGCTCTGGAAATTTTTACTCTATTTTATGACATTTTCTCAATATAACAATAAAAAAAGATTAAATGAAAATTTGTTATTAATAATTGTAATTTCTTAATTCAGTCGTATCCTCTTCTGGTTCGTCCCTCTAGGTAAGCCTCTACAGACCGGCTCATATTGGCGAATATCTGCAGTTCTCGGCAAAGATGTCATTCTCCCGTGTCACCTCACCACGTCTGTCGACCCCTCTCCTTTCCTGGCGGTGGAGTGGTCCCGGGTAGATGGTGTGTCCCCACTTACGGTTCATGTTCTCCGCAACGGCAAAGAGCTTGTGAAGGAGAAGGCGCCAGAGTACCTCGGGAGAACGGACATAATGGAGGACGGTTCCCTGAAGTTGCTCGGTGTCAAACGGTGGGACAACGGCACCTACAGGTAAGTGATGGATATTATATAGATTTTTTTTAGGGTGAGTTTACCCTTTTATTGTGATTTTTTCCCCTGTGAATCAGTAAATTCTCCCGTTATCTTGTTCATCATGCTAATCCAGGTGTGTCCTTCTGCGAGGATCGTCTGTGGAGGACATATTTGTCTCGCTCACCGTTGGTAAGATAACAATAGTCTGCAGCTGTGCTAGCGGCTCTGTGATGCTGCACTGAAGCACAGATTTGCACAAATGCAAACATGCTGATGTTTAGCAGGTTTGATTTACCATGTCAGTTTAGCATGTTAGCATGCTAACGTAAACTAATTATCAGTAAACACAAAGTGCAGACGAGGCTGATGCAGGTATCTGGTCGTAAACCAAAGTGTTGGACACTTGTTTGACCTGATGGTGGCGCTAGATGAAAGTCAGAGGATCACCAAAGAGGAATTTATACTTTGAGCTCAGTCTCAATTTAAACGCTCTCGTTAGTCTTTGTTGTCTTAAAGTGAACGCACTTATTCACAATACTGGTAGCAGGAAATGGACCCCACACAGCAGAGGAGGCTTACAGAGACAATCCAGCTTCAGTTAGACCTCAGAAACGAGGTCACAGCTGGAGGTGTGTGCGACTCGTCCTAGTTATCTAGTCTAAACAAACACGGCCTCTGGATCTCCCGCCTGGTTCCACACAACATCATGTAGCCTTCCTGATTAGACCATTCGAGATGTCTCCATTTCACAGACAGAGGCCTCGCTAACTGAGGTCAGAGAGCCGTTATTATCTATGATCTAAAAATAATTTGCCATGCTGTAGTTGGATTGTAGGAAACTTTTTTAATTTAAAGGGAATCGAACGTGTCAAGGAAACGCACTTACTGTGATTGATAAGGTCAACTATGTATTTAGAGGCTATACTCGTTACATTGGGTTTACTTTAACCTACTTAGCTGCAAACTAAGTGGAAGTCTTCACTTATGAAGCAATAAGATGTTAAGTTTAGATATGCAGAGTTTGCGTTTGTAGGCAAGCCAGTAACAACGGCTCTGATTGGCTGATCACTGCCATCTGTCAGGCGTTCAGTGTGTTTTACTGTAATGTTAAACCAGAGGATAACTGGGCCTGTTTTGGGTTCAGTAGCGGGGGCGTTCCCGAGCCGAGGCTGGTTGGAGCATATGATAAACCCAGATTGACGCCCAATGAGAGCAAGTTGTGTTGGGTATTTCTGTGTAAACCGTCCTTATTCCCTCTTTTCAGCCTCAAATTCATCCACAGTTTGATTCTTTCTTCTTCACACACGTGCAACCAGCTGACAACAACAGTCTGCCTCCACGTTTGTTTATGTCTGAAATCACGTTTGATCCTGCGTCTTGACTGAATCGTCAGGTGTTTCTGTGTTCTTAAGATTAAAATATAAAAAATCAGTTAATTCTGTCGTTATTTCTGTGGTACCCCTCGTTTTCAAAATCGGTTAAGATTTAAAACCCTCTAGTGTGCACCAGGAACTCACAGCATTTTAACACCTTATTATTATTATTATTAATTCTACTAATATCACAAAAACAGAACAGCCAAAAGAGAAAATATTTCAGACCGGACCAACATCCAGACAAACGACTAAATAAGAGCTGCGCATATCAGATAAAAAAATTATTACCAAGTGCAATAGAAATAATGCACCTGCTAAATTATCGTTGATCATGAGACCACAGCAGAGATACTGTAGTGACGTGTGCGTTTGTCTCCAGCTGAGGTGGCCGAGGTGAAAATATCTGTCCGTCGCACTTCAGCCAACGAGCTGTTTGTCGTCTGTGAGTCCAGCGGCTGGAGCCCCGAGCCGGTGGTTTCTCTGCTGGACGCCGACGGAAGCGTCCTGGCTGCTCAGACGGAGTCATCAGTCCGACCAGATGACCTCCACTCCGTCAGGGCGCTCGTTAATGTGGCAGCAGCTAAAGGTAATTGCACCCTAACTGCTTGTGTTTTTTTTGTCCTGTTTGTTTTTATTTTCCTTTTTCATAAATAAACGATGAAATGAGATTTACAGAGAGGATCACTCGCACCGATTGAATGATGTCTGTCAGATTATGAGTTGTTGTCCTGAACGAGGTTTTAATTTGTCATTTCTGTGAGCTAAGAGGGTCTGAAGTTTGAGTCTCATTTCCATTTGTTATATAATCACACAGTAAGTTTAGAAAGCGCAAGTCCCATAATGCTTTGGGGGATGTTGCCATAGATTCAGTGAGTTCGCTGTGAGCTACAACTGGAGCCTTGTTTTATTTAAGCCTATATTTGTTTACATTTTGGCAAATTGGCGCCGTTAAGTGTGCGAAATTAGCTGTTAGCACTTCCTGTTAGCAGCATGGATGTACAGTCAGCTGTCACTGGATGACTGTGATACGGAAGAAAACTTAAAAACATGATGATTCACAGCCAGTTATTAGTAGCCTTTTTTTCTGATTTGTAAGTGGATTTAACCCTTCTCGTGTTTTTTCTTATAACCGCAGCACTAACAGGAAATGGTACCGTGATCTGTAGAGTGGAACTACCTGAAATGAGCCTGGCAAACGAGAACAAGATTTATATCACAGGTAAATATCCTAATTTACCTGTTTTTACTGATTTTTGGAAGAAGAAGATCACTATTGGAAGAAGTATTCACATCCTTCACTTAGTGAAAGTACCAATACATTAACTATAAAAAATACTCCAAGCAAGTACAAGTCCTGCATTAAAAATGTTACTTAAATAAAAGTACATAAGTATAATCAGTAAAATGAATTTGAAGTATCAGATATAATGTACAAAAAAACATTTCAGTGTTTAGTTTACTTTATATACAAAGTTCTGAATCTAAATCTGTTTTCAGTTTGTGGACTTACGGACTTTTGTGAAATATTGAAAGTTTAGACAAGAAATAAGACGTCTGAAACATGACAAGGAGACACAGCTACACACTGATCTTCCACGCCAGCGGGTTTCTAAATGTTTTAAAGGGAGCTGTGTGAATTCTGTTAAATATCCTCAAGTGATGTCACTTGGAGTCGGCGTTGGTTTGGACTAAAGACTACAAGTTAAAAAATGACATATCTCTGTACTTTTACTTGAATTAACGGCGTCTTCAAGCTGCAGGAGTAAGCGTCACGTCATCCTGTCTTGCTGTTTTTAGATGAGTTCGATCCCTTCGACCCAGGACTTGGTTGTAATTTCGTGATGGTCTTCGCCATCGTGCTGGTTGCCGTAAATACAGCTGTCATGCTCTTTGCGTTTCCTGTATGGATGATCGAGAAGCTGCGATCTTCACTGCGTTCTTCGCTGCGGCGTCTGACAGGTCGGTTTTATAGCGAGTCAGGTGGCAGCGTGGAGGATACAGTGATGGTAGTTATCAGAGGAAGGAAACTCAACTCTTCTGTGTGTTTTTCTTGTTTCAGAGTTCAGCTTCGATCTGGTCACTCAGCAGAGAGACGGAGAACAAGGTCATCTTTGTTTTCATGTCACATTTCACTTCTTTCAAAAAGTGGTTTTTAATACATGTTGCTGCTGTTGGAGGTCAAACCACCACAGACTCTGGATGTTGGAAAAAACTCAGGCTCTGATCCCTGAAAACAGCAAGATGAGGCGCTCACACAGTCTGTTCGCCCACGACATACCATGCACTTAATTAAAACAGTAACTTCATAGTCCATGTGGTGGGAAAATAGCTTTAAGCTAGCATTTTAAAACAGTAGTGGGCAAATATGTAGACAACAAACACGGTATCAACAAACAAATTAAATAAGGCTGGATTAAGACATTTCTAGTGGCTCTTCCACGCCTGTAGCGCCCCCCTGAGGGTAAAAACTCAAAGTGCACACAGAGGATCCCTTGTAATTCCACCATATCATTAGTTTAATATAAGTAAAATCATTTCACTTCCTCTGCAGACAAACTCTCTGTGTGACTTTCTTCACAGTGTAGTCAGTATACTCTGAAGTAAAGATATTTAAAACGTTTTCCAGTGTCTGTGGCGAGGACGCAGTTTATCAGGGCGCCTGTTCGGGCCCATACTGTCGAGCTGTACTCTGAGAAATCAGCTGTTCTCTGTTCATATTAAGAAACTTGTGTGATCATGTTTTTCTCCAGTTCAGAAACATTTCTGAGGCCAGACATGTTTTATCTTTTGAAATAAACATGTCCAGGCTTCTAATTATCTTTACACTCTTATACTCCAGTGCTGTCAACTGTAAATACACTTTACTTACGAATTCACTTCACAGAAATGTGTTTTACTCGAATGAAGTGTCATATTATTAAAATAATTTGAAACCTATGCTTCTATAATACAGAACTTAGTCATAATTGTATCATAAAGATTACGTTCCTGTGTGAAATGCATATATTTTAATAGAATTAACTGTTAGCAGTTCCTGTTCCTGAACTTACTGATCAAAAACATGTGCAGAAAACAAGACGGTGACTAAAACTGCTGTTTTTCTGTTTGTTTGTTTATTTGCAGAGACATACACAGGTAAGCACTGTTTATATTCAGTTGCCTGTAAATTACAGACTGAAAGACTCATTTAAACCAGGCATCAAAATGTTTCAGTTGTTCTGGGAAAGAAATGGTTGAAACAGACGAGGACGGTGTTGTCAGGTGTCGTAAACTTCACTGAGAGACGGAGATGAACAAGACTGATGGTGTCTGTCCTCTGTGTGTTTCAGAGTACGGCGACGTCACCGAGGTGGAAACAACGGAAGCTTCTGAAGAGACGGCGAGCGCAAACCAGCTGCTCAGCAGAGGTCTGTTCACAAAAAGCCACGTTCATCTCAGAATAATATGACACTCTAGTGCTGTTAACTGTAAATACACTTTACTTACGAATTCACTTAATAGATTTTTAATACTGGAGCTCAGCAGTTTAATCTGACATCACAGAAATGTGTTTTACTCGAATGAAGTGTCATATTATTAAAATAATTTGAAACCTATGCTTCGATAATACAGAACTTAGTCATAATTGTATCATAAAGATTACGTTCCTGTGTGAAATGCATATATTTTAATAGAATTAACTGTTAGCATGATAAATAAAATGCTGACTCTGTCTCTGTTGTTTCCTCAGATGAACGGCTTCTTGGAGGTAAGACTTGAACTTACTGATCAAAAACGTGCAGAAAACAAGACGGTGACTAAAACTGCTGTTTTTCTGTTTGTTTGTTTGTTTATTTGCAGAGACATACACAGGTAAGCACTGTTTATATTCAGTTGCCTATAAATTACAGAATGAAAGACTCATTTAAACCAGGCATCAAAATGTTTCAGTTGTTCTGGGAAAGAAATGGTAGAAACAGACGAGGACGGTGTCGTCAGGTGTCGTAAACTTCACTGAGAGACGGAGATGAACAGGACTGATGGTGTCTGTCCTCTGTGTGTTTCAGAGTACGACGACCTCACCGAGGTGGAAACAACGGGAGCTTCTGAAGAGACGGCGAGCGCAAACCAGCTGCTCAGCAGAGGTCGGTTCACAAAAAGCCACGTTCATCTCAGAGTCACAACTCAGTCAGATCTCACAGACATGAAACACATATTGAATCAATCACTGCCACTTCATTGTATCTGATGTCCACCCAGAACAAACCTGATTGATGGTCATAAAGGATATTTCAACTTAATTACAACAGGTCAAATATTTAGTTCTTATATTGAATTTTAATGCATTTATTTTCAACTCTTAGTCCCGTACCATAATTATGATATAGATATTCTTCTGTTCTCTTTGTGCTCATAGTCTTGTGTCGGATCCTGTTTCAGGTATTGAAGCCTCCCACCAGCTGGCAGAGAGTGACCTGAATGAGATGAAGAGGTACAAAGAGGACATCAGCAGCGTGGGAAAAATGTAATAACATAAAACTTGTGCAATTTGTCTTTGTTTGTTTTTAAACATCCACAGTATTCTGTCAGATCAATGATGGCTGTAACTTTTATTCATTTCATTTAGCTCTTCGTAGTCGTTTTGTGTGTCTCTGTGGTCATTTTGTGTCTCTTCGGGTCATACTAAGTCTCTTTGTAGTCATTTCGTTTCTCCTTGCGCTTGTTTTTGCGTCTGTCTATGGTTATTTTGAGTCTCTTTCTGGGTTGTTTTGAGGGTCTTTGTGATTGTTTTGTAACTACTGTACTGGTTTAAATAGCTGCTAATTGTGCTGTCTTAATGTTGTACACAGTCTAACCTTTGATAACAGAGACACTCTTAAAGTCACGTTGACGGTTGCTGTGGTCTCTTGCAGGCTTAGCGTCCACCCGGCCCTGATCGCCGGCATAATCTCCAGACAGTCTCGGGCTGGAACCAAACTGGGCGCCAACGGCTATGGAAAGTTCGACAAAAACTGCTTCGGCCTCATGCAGGTGTGTCTGTGTGATTTAGTTGGTTATAGTTTGAGATGCTTCAGTTTTCTTTATTTATTGATGTTTTGACCTTGTAGACTATGGAGGGGGCTGCGGTTAAACAATGTTTGGGAACCATAAAAACACAAAACATCTAGTTTGTGATGAGACAGACGTGTAGCGTGTTGGATTCAGGATTGATTGGTTAAGTTGTCCCATTGGTGCAGATCAATAAGCATTACCACGCGGTGAAAGGAAACCCGTTCAGCAGAGAGCACCTGGACCAGGGAGTCACCTTCTTCATCCAGCTCATCAAGACCATGAAGAGGACGAAGCAGGACTGGAGCAAAGAGCAGCAGCTGAAAGGTAAAGACACGGAGGACGGACTGATCCTCTCCTCACTTTGTGGGCGCTCATGAATTTTGTAATCATTTTGGGTTTTAGTAGTTACAAAACAATCACAAAATTAAGATCTTTAACCGAGTTTCAGTCCACAGAGGGGATTCAGACTGGAACGTCAGACTTGCACTAGTTTTCCATTAGTTTTAATAATTAAAGTTACAAATGTGTTTTAGATTGCTGTTAAAAGAAATTTCACTTTCTTACAACCTGGATGTTATTTTCATACTCCTGGCTGTCCGTTATTCTTCATTGTGAGACAATTGAAGACCATTTAAAGCTACTTAACTTGGTGTCATGAAACTCAATTAATCCCTAAATTTGTTATTTGTTCCTTTTTTTTAAAAAAAAAATTACCAATCATATCCTAAAGTATTAAACTGTGACTCCACATGTCACATACTGATTTTAGTAGTGTTAAATTGGTGAATTCATATGCTCACATTACTAATAACAGTTAAGGACACCAATTAAAAAAACAAAATAATGAGGAAAGTAAATTTTAAGTATAAGACAGATAAAAGAAAAATTCAAAACGTAGTAAAACCCTCTTTCTCTTGGAGAGTTGGTTGTCTGTACAGTAAATATGAAGCTGCAGCTTTTTAGCTTAGCATAAATACTGGAAATGGGGGGGAAACAGCTCGCCTGGCTCTGTGCAAAGTAAACTTAAAACCTCAAAAAAAGTACTGGTCCCAGTCATGAAATAGTCCATTACATAACCACCTGTAACCGGTGGTTTAATACTTTGTACGGCTGCTGGCTGTAGCTGAGTGACAGGAAGGTGAAGCGTTTTTCCCAAAATACCAACTTGGGAAATGTAGGATTGATGGAGCAGCAGTGGTCGAGGCAGATTACCTGCTGTGTGTTGAGGGGCGTCTGGTTCAAAGAGAAGTTTGTGTTGTGGCTTTACATACCTGAACTTCTCTGTCTGTGTTTTCAGGTGCGTTGGCGTGCTACATCGCAGGTGAGGAGAGGGTCATCCCTTTGACGTACGAGGAGGTGGACAGAGTGACACCTCAAGGGGACTTCGCCAATGACGTGGTCGCCAGAGCGCAGTGGTTCGCCAAGAACGGCTTCTAGATGTTTCTAAATAATTTTCCCTTTCCTCCTGTTCTTGTATGTAAGGACAGTTTCGGTTATCAGCTCGTCTTCCTTACGTTCATGAACCTCCAACACATTCTCACTTCCAACTTTTCACATACTTGTTGAAGACCCCTTGGCGTCGTTTTTGAATATGTAGGACTCCGGTTCAAGTGGACAATAATAAATGTCCAATGTTCGGTTAGACTTTCAAAAAATAGTGTGTGAGTGGTTAACGTTGTGAAACGTTTGTTTAGGTTTAGGAAAAGATCATGGTTTGGGTTAAAATGACAACATTACGTAACGTAGCTAAAAACATTTAATGATTTTTAGTTTCAAAGCAGGAAAGAAACACCGGGCTCCTGGTCAAAGTCCGGCGTTCACCCCAATCTGTCTACCACAACCACGTCTTTAATCTGACTTTTGCGTTAATATCCTACACCTACGTTTACA